GTCCTATCCCATCAGATACAGGTTGACAAGATCTGTGAAAGGAGTCTAAGAATATTATTCAGATAAAGTGTTCTAGACCAAATGGTCAAGGTCTGGTATGATAGTTCTTTTCTTACCCAGCCGTTGTACGTGTTAGTCGTACACACTAACCATCGAAAATTTCTGACTGACACTGATGAAGTTGACTACTTGTTAGAAAGCTTACCGACTATTTTTCCGTCCGCCTAAGAAATGAGTAGAATACTAGCTTGTTCACTTGTACCGATAAAACTATTGGATTGACGATAAGATTTTGCTTAGCAACAAACATGCGGTTGTTTATCAAGCCTCTCTTATAATCAGAAGGTTCCCGTATTTGGACACGCTAGTCTCCCAAAATACCGACCGTAATATGTTTCCCTTTGTCTACCGAAATAAAAAATATATGTGCTTCAGGGGTCTATGCACAATACAGCCAAAATATGCCTTAGGTTGCACCCTTTTCCATACAGTCAAACAGATTTGAATCTCGGACATAGCTGGGAAGAAAATTGGATTGCCTAAAGATGTAATGTGGTCAAATAGCTACCAAGGTTTCTTCAGCGCAAATCGTCTTGCTTTAATTGATGAAATGAGACGAATGCATTTGCGCTAAAATTCCTCATAATGGTTTTCTACGTCCATTGTATTTTATTAAACAAGAGTCTTATTCCTGCGCAGGGTATATGCGCAGTTTTGCGCTCACGCTACCGCTGTTAACCTAAATTGGAGCACGAGTCACTGTGTTCGCTGAATTTTTAGAAGCTATAGTGATGAGTGCGTCAGAAGTGATACAGGGCCTAACTTTCAGGCAAAAAACATGTGCGCAAAAATCTCTGCGTTTCATCCGCTTAGCTCAACTTTGAAAGAATCTAAGGTCCAATTACCAGTTGCCGAACATCAAAGTGGCAGATGATACAGGGTCTTGTTTAGCTCAACTTGACGGTTCATTACATGAAACACATGGTTTCAAAAGTGAAGTTCCCAAAACCCTCCTCTGCATTGGTTAAATTTTACAGCCTATCCGCTGCTCTCAGAGAAACTCGAGATTTCTCCTAATGAAGCTCCAATCCTGGTAATTGGTTGGACTTAGTTATTTGTTAAACTTGTTTAAACCACGTCAGCTACACTTTTATGTGGGCACACTTCTTTATATGTTTTGCGGAAAGACGCGGCACACAGAATGAATTTATCCGGTAACTCTGTTAAAAATTTTGTTTCGCTTGCTCGTTCTTCGCCTATTCTTGTATTTTCTGAACCAACATCATTTTTACACTCTAGATTTTTACTCTCAAGGAGCACTTGTTGCTTTCTACGTTGATTTGTACTCATATCGTTTCACTGTATTAAGTAGCCTTGGCTTTGTTACCTAATTTTAAGTGTGGAAGATCTACAACACCTTGTAATTTACTGCCTAATGACCAAACAAAACTGGATGTTAAAGCGCCCCAGAGCCCTGGGATGTCAGCAAAAAACAGAAGGTTGTCTGTTTCGTGCGTTTTCCTAATAACTGGTTCCTTATTTGTCGTCCTGAAAGTTTGGCCTCTGCCATTTAGTATTCTGTTCTACGTCAAGTGCTTTGAGTAACTTGAGTATATTTTCTTGTTATTATTCTAACTGCTGAGCTTAGCAGAGGACTCGTTCGTTTGACTGAACTGACTAACTATCAGTAAGTTGAGTCACAAACATTTCGACATATTTTTACGTCACCGCTTGTCAGTACGTCAAGCTGCGCTTTTACACCACCTCTCAAAATGCCGATTTTGGGATCCCAGTCTCAGCACCTTTTTTTTATTTTAGCCAGCAAACTGCTAAGGGACAAAGTTCGGGGAAGTGCAGAGAAATCTTCAAAGGTGACACAGGACTTGCAGTCTTTGGTAACCATAATGACCCCACGTTTTGAATTACAGAATAGCAGTCCTTTAAAAAAACTCAACAGGCTTTGATACCCCACTGCATTTATTTTAATATGACAAAACGCAGGATTATTTTTGAAAAATTTTCCCTATCTTTTTGTAGACACTTGCGTGGTAATTGCAGCCATGATGTTAAACGGTTTGAAAACGTATTCCATTTGATTTATCGGCACAGAGTTTTCTCATACTTATGGGTTTAAACTGAAAGCAGGCGTCAAGTTTTGTGAAATTAATAAAAAAAACAGGGTATGAGCAAGTGAAAATTATTGAAGTGACCCGTTTTGTTTCTTTTTCGTTTGAAGCGAAGTATTTTTAACGTAACACAAGTTTTGGTGCACGGTGAGTATCAAGGATGTTCGACCTGGCATCAACGCCTATTCAAAATCCTCCAAGCACTCCGAACATCACTATATTTCGTGAAGACATTCATCTACCGTGTTGAATTTTGCATCTCAATGGTTCGATCGTGTCAACGAAAACAAGTTAAGCCTGAGCTTTTTTTGTTGACAGCGGTGGTTTGAACTTGATGTGGGCCTAGAGGAGGGTAAAAAGTAACAAACGGATGTAGATGGCTAGTCGTCTAGTGGCAAAAGTTCATAGTGTGCTCTCGCAGGCAGCTTCTTCAATAAAAAAGAGACTTCATCACCATGGTTACATTGGTGGCTCGCGATGTTTTGACGCAGGTCATTTGGGGTAGTTAGAGTGGGTAGTGCCAATCCAGGATGACCAAGTTTTTGGAAAGTTACAAAAGCAACAACGTGGTCGTTTTGCAGCTTTTGGCATGCCACAAAGCACGCTCAGCTGTCTGGTACTAAAGTGGGTTTGAAAAACACTTATCAGTCTTGTGGCTCTTTTTCGAAGATACTCTAGTAGCCCACTGTTTTGTTTGAGATTTTGGTATCGCCCGCAATCATTTACCCAACTGAAGGCTTACGATAAAATTTTTATTCTCATTCCACCACGAGCACTCAAGAGTAGAGCTTCTGATGCCTTCGGAATTTAGGCGGTACTCTTATGCCTCTCTGGGTGGCACACTGTAGACTCATCCGTGTTTTATCAGCCCAAGGTCAGAAAGTCTCCAATAATTTCGCCCTCAGGTCGAAGCTGAGTTGTTTCAATAAGTGGTTTCTCATCGAGTTGAAGAACAAATTATTTTGTGAACAAGCCAAAGGAGTAACAGTGGGAGAGGGCCTGATCCTTCAGTTTTAACCCGTTTTACAGGCAAGTATTGGAGAGCCGTCACTCTTAATCAAACCGGTGCACGGATGAAATTAAAGATATAATATTGCTGTTAAGCCGATCCTACATCGCTCTCTTTGATTGTCAAACGATAGACTTATTTTTCTTCTATGTTTGTCCTGAAGTCTTGATTTACGTTAGTATTGTCCTTTGTTGGCCCAACGAGACCTATGACCTACACATAGCGAAGACCACTGGAGACGCTCCGAAAGGAAGAATGTCGTTCGTAAATCTTCGCTTGTAGTGGTGTGCTTATGGGTGCCCCACTTTCCTTAGAACATCAGAAACTTCTGTTTATGCAAGAGGTCCCTGTACTGGTTTTGTTTGGTGGCCACTGTGAACCAGTGTGGCTTTTGTGACACCAGTTCGTAAATGAACAGAAGGTATCACAATCCTTCAAATCTGGGATTGTCCTCGAGAAATTTTCTCCTCTTTAATACATATATATCTTGGTAGAAGTCCAGAATAGGTTAATGAGTGCTGCGGTAGCTTCTTCCCTGAGACATACATCCCTTGGAGTCCGTTTATTGCAGCATGAAATGGTGTCCAGATATCTTGAACCCCACTGAGTGGTAAACTCGGTGTCAAGGGCTTGATACTCTCACAAGGGTTGGCGTTGGTTTTCTTAGACGTCCATCTTTGCACACTTCTGTTCCTAGATGCAGGTGGATATTAGACCTCAACGACCACTTGAGTTTTCCTTTAGTGTTTTCTTCCGTTCATCTTGATAGAACGCCCAACCTTAAATGGCGTTCACATCCTACCATGTTCTGTAGTGTGTAGCAATATGTAGTATATGGTCTTGTTTTTTGAAAATTTTCGAAGGTTCCTCGGCTTCTGTAGTAATCCTTCAATTTTGTAGTTCCAATAGTGTCTTACAAGCTTTTCCACCTCTTACACGCCCAGCCGCTGGGAAGCAGACCAACGGCCTCATACATGCAATTGTCCGGGTGCGTCTTGCCTGTAATTGCTAAATTTTCCTTGTGATTATCTTTGGGATCCAATGTAGGTGGTTCCTGATTTGCGGTAGAGTATTTCAAGATTTCCAGCTCATGGAACCCTCATTTCCAAATGTTAGCTCAAGACAGGTGGCAAACTCATTCACCACCGGCATTTTCGAGTTTATCCACGATACAATTTTGTCTACGCAGACCACTTCTAAATGAAAATACTACGAGCGTAACGGCCCTTTTAAAAGTGCATACGCGTACAATGCTAAACCGTAAAGCCTTTCGCGGCCTCACCTAATGCGAACAGCAGTTTCTCAGCAAAATAGTAGACTTGTTGTCTGTTGATTTCTTTGAATTCAGCAAGTGATTATGAGATTTCCAAGCGTCGGTTTGTCGCGCCCTGTTGGGGTGGATTAAACGATGAGGTAGTTTAGGTCCTGTCGTTGGAGGTCAAGAACTTGTATTAACCTCCCTCCCACCTATTGCTTGGCGCTGAGATCGTGCTTGTTCGTGATGGCTCTCTAGTAGTCAGATGCGGACGGACAAATAGCGTCTGCTATGAAATTGATTGTGTTGATGCGTAATCTTCAGCGAACAACTACTCGTATTCTTGTAATATGTAAGCAACGTGAAGTCGGTGAGATCTGATTTCACTGATGCGGAAAAAGATGCCCCTGTGTTCCGTCGGGATTATCCTGTTGATTTCATATCAGTCAAGTTCTAACCCCTAGTCCAAGCCTAATGGCGAAGTGCTTACGTGAAGCGTTTCCTTTTGAACATTTATTAGTTCATGAAATTTTACGTTTAATGTTATCCTATGGAAAACTCTACTGCGAGTTAGCAACAAAAGATGCATGTTACGAAAATCCGCGCTCACCCGCTCTCAAACCAAAGGTGTCATGAAGGTCAAATTTAGTTGCTCGGTTATTACTATTTCCAACCATGCATTAAAAGCACGGGACAAGTGAACTCACAGTTCAAAGTACATTGGTTCAGGTTGTTCATTAGGGTGTGGGGCTGTAAATGCACGAACAGGTGATTGATGTTTCTGATCCTAGGTTCCGTATCGGTCGGTAGATAGCACCGGGAAGAAAAGAAAACCCGGATAGAGGAGAGAACCTCGGCCTCACGTGTGTGTGCGCACGACGGGTTTGGTGACTATACATTATAAACAACTTCGTATGACACAATGTAAGTTGCCCCTCAGCAACAAGTCAACCAAACAGTATTATGAAATTAATGCATACATGAGACAACAAGTGCTTGGGTTTGGGTCAGAAAAAGTGAGTCAATAACATGGGTTCTCAAATACGCCATCACGTACACAAACCCGGTGGGCTGGAAGACTGTCAGCAAGTCATGTCCTCACACGCGCGTGTGAACATGCATACGCTTTCCCGTTCTGAGCTAAAGAACATATTTCGGGGATCTAAGAAACTTACCAAATTCTTCTTGTTCCCTCGGACCAAAAACCATTGGAATTTGGTTGCTCGCCAACGATACATGCGGACACAAGACACTATTCTTGACCTCACCCGGAGAAACATAAGTGTACTGTGCAAATACATGAGACATCGCCGCATTAACAATCCATCCGCGTTCTCCTTGAGGATCAATGACGGAAAACCCATGAGTTACCCAAAAGTGGTATCTGAGTTTCAAACTATGCAGGTCTATATTCAAACCCAGCGTCCACGTCACATCCGCACTTGCCAAGGCGTAACTACGAACAGCCCCTAGCCGACATCGTCTTCACGGTGGAAGACACTCGTCAACTCTTTCACAAGATCAACCCATTCTGCGCGTTGAAGCCCGACGAGGTCCATCCAAGGATCCCGAAGGAAACGTTGTCTACTCCGGCAAATCACTTCTACCTGGTGTTCCGTCAGTTGCTTGACGAAGACTGTCTTCTCTCTACTTGGAACGAAGCGATTATCACGCCAATCTACTAAACTGGTGACTGACTATCGCCTGGCATCTAAAGGCCTATAAGCCTTACCAGCGTGTCGTGCAAGGTGATGAAACGCATTCCAGCAACCTGACATTTCGAGCTCAACGCATATTTCTCCCAAGTTGTTCTTACGTGACAAGCATGCTCGTGCTTGTGGACAACTCAACCCAAGCCAAGCACGAGGAATTCATTTCGGATGCCATATCGTCCGACTTCTCAAAAGTATTTGATAGGGTCCCACACGTACCACTGCTCCACAAACTCGAGTCTTACGGGATTCAAGGGAAAATCCTACACTTGATCAAGGCGTTCCGATCAGACAGATCATTCCGGAGTGAAAGTAGGTTCTACCTACTCTTCTTCAGCGCCGGTCTCCACTGGAATTCCCGAAAGTTCCGTTCTGGGACCACTGCTGTTATTGATCTGCGTCAACGACCTTCCAGACGTTCCTGCAAGTCCATGTCTACTTTTTGCGGACGACTTGAAATCCTGGAGTTCCAATGCCAGTGCCCTCCAAATGTGTGTAGACGCTGCAAAGCAGTGGTCGTTGGACTAGCACGCTCCTCTGAATGACGAAAATTGCATCCATGTCATTTAAAGGAGACTCAGTGAATGCCTTTGCCATGTATGGTGAGAAAGGACCAGAAAACATCATTTGGAATAGACGCCAAAAAAGGTTAGCGTATTCGTGTCTCCTCAAACTTGTCCTTCTCACTGCACCATGAGAAATCGGCCCAAAATGCATTCAACATTTTACGGATGATTCGGCACACCTTTTCCCGTATTACTCGCATAGACTTCCAAATATTCTGTGGGTGTCGCGTCGAACCACTCCTGGAATGCGCCAACCAAGTTGTCTACTCAGGGCACACGAAAGACGTCACCCTCATTAAGCGTGTCCAGCGGGCCGCCACGAAAATTGTTGCCGGCCACAAATCTGTGGACTACGAGACGCGTCTAGCGGCGATTGACCTCTTTCCCCTGGGTATCATCGCCTCCAATTTGACCCAATTCTTACATATGCCCGGTTCGAACAAGGCTTGCCAACGGGTTTTTCACCATTGACCCAACAAACACATGGTGGTGGCATGGTAATAAAAGTTTCAGGCGCATACATTCATCAGGCAAATCTTTTTCTCACTTCGGGGAGAAGCTGCGTTGAATGACCTTCCTCCGACGGTTGTACACACTCCTTCTAGAACCCGGTTCACAGCACTCTTAGACACTTATTTGTGCGAATCCTCGCCCTGGCAAGCATACTGCCCCGCGCTGAGAACATAAAGATCAGTGCTACACACTTTTCCATTGGTGTCTTCCAGGTGAACGACAACCACTGAACGACAAGATCAGAATTAACCAGGAAAACTTAGGTAAAAGTCTCGATTCTGTGTATCATTCCGTGAATCCGTGAATTTCCACTATTGCCAAAAAACCCTGATATTAGTGACTGCAGAAAGTATTCGTCGTCAAGACGCCAAGGCTTGTTCCCAGGTGGGGATCAACTGACATTGGATGGAGAAGAAGTTCATCGGAATGTTGTTTTTAGTCACCATTACATACTTCGCGCTGTATGCCGGAGGTGACATTATGGGTTTCCGAACCTGCTGCATATCTGAGGGCAGCGTTTTCTTTAGAACGTGGAATCAAAGCAGGAGTGGTCATTAAGAAGATGTTGAATTAGGAACAGAAGCCGTTTCACCGTTATCCATGTGCAAAAACTCCGGGCTGTTTGTAGACATGGGGATGGATGAGAACAGGCACACCACCCGTCACCCATCACTTCCAGGGAACGTCCGATAAATCAGACTGTTGTCAACCGTTCCGGTCAAACCTGCCTCAGATTACCCATCCAGAGTTTTTGTAGCATGATGTCATTTTGGAAGCCAGACATCTCAGGCAGGTCTCATGATCATTTGGCACATCAAAGAACTGAGAAAATGCAGAACTGTTTAGATGCATCTCATGTTTATAGGCCACGTGGCCGCCTATCTGCTCCCTAGATGAGCGTGGCCCGCAAAATTTTTTCCGCTAAACAGAAAGACATCCTCGATGCACGGTCTGCCCGGGAATTTCTTCGTTTTTGCATGCCTTTCTGTGAGCTTATATGAGTGGCTGTTACCTCCCAGAGCAAGTGATTACTAAAGGCACGGCCTTCTCATGATTTTGTTACCCATTCATGAATTAATTCACGTTACGGTCTCTCTTTTTTGTTTGCTTGGTTGCAACAAAAACCAATGTTCGACGGTTTTGTTTTCTTTTTTCGGTTAGCTTGATTAATGATGTGACATGGTCCAATTACAGTGATATACTGGTTGGCTACGTATTCATTCCAAACAAATTAGGGCCCTTAACTCAATTTTTCCTGGCTGTACCATGCCTTGCTCATCTGATTTCTCAAATAGCTTCAGGCTCTATAATTCCCGCGTCCTCATGAACTTTTGGTTACTAATTTGGTTCATTTTCAATGTTTATTGATGGCATCTTCACCAAAATGCCATTCTTTCCGGAACTCATTTTCTTCGTCCTTGCTTGCTCTGAGCAGCGATCGGAAATCGCATCATGGGTATTTTCCCTCATACTGTTCTATACCTTTGTGCGACACGGTAAGGGGGATGGTGGATCACAGGAGGGGAGGCCACAATGCAACACACAATGAGAGAGGTGCCTCTTAAGTGGGTGGTCACGTCGGATGATAACGGACACCTCTCTACGTTCGTAATGACTCAACTTCTAGAAGGGCGCTTATAGTTCACCACACACTGATGACTCCTCGTTTGCATGCTTGCTTCCCGACCCGGAAAACAGACCATCAACCGCCTGGTCAACATCCGGCATCAAAACAGTAAGCTGCATCTGGTTGTAAATTTTTACAATCCGATCTTGCTCGATATTTTATCCAAAGACACATAGTAACTGTGCTTACCTGCCCGCGCCAGGCTTGGTGGTGATCACGCCTACATCGGATAATGCCTACCTTCTATGACGCTGTCCCTTTCCCTAACCCCCCTGTGCCCACAATTCCCGCAAGTCATACTTTTATTCTGACTGTAAAATTAAGAATACCTGACGGTATGCCACCCGCAAGTTGGGGCTAATATTGGCATTAATATTGCTATATCCAGAGAAGTCGTAATCACCCTCCTTCCACACTTCACATACAATGCTGGAATGTCGAATTTTGACAGCAGCGGGGCTTTTGGCAGGATGTGGTGCATAAAATAACATGCTCCCCACCAAAAATGGAGCCTTAATGCGGCCTTAAAAGGCGCGGGGCTTATCCTTATGCGTCATCCTGTACCCTTTATGGTAGTATTGTATAACTTGTGAGCTGTTTAACAGCCCCTACCGTAATAGGGTGAAGAATACAAGTAATATAATGAACGATTTGTTAAGAATCCTGAATACTCCTACATGGTTTTCCCCGGAAAGCTGAACTAATAGTTTGGCTGAAGCTGTTTCTTATTTTTGTACGCTCTCAGACAGAACGGCAGATTTTTTACAGTAAATGCTTGTCCATCATAATTCCAGAACATCCGGCCGGCACGTTGCTCGCTGTGAGTAGTCCAAAAATTATGTAAACTAATGAGCACTTCGGATCCACTTATGCTTAGAATAAAAGGTATGTCCGGCATGTCCAGTAGTTCTACCGCACCTTGAGTGTTCATCACATATTAAAGTGGATGTTCAACAAGTTGCAGGGGCGATTGGTCGGCGTCACTAAATAAGTGTTTGTTCCGAACTGGTGGGTGGCACTCAGTGAGGCATAATCATTGTAGCACGGTCAATAGAACAACACAAATGGTGCTAATTTCAGAAGCCTAAAATGAGTGGAAATGAGCGGTCAAAAATAGGCACTGTCAAGCACAAATAGGGTCATGCCAAATTTACACCATCACGCCATCGCGGTCATTGAATGCCGGCCATGGGGATATTTATGGCGAAGCACATAAAACACAGAGACAATATGGCTGAGGTGCCGTCTGAAGCAAAAAATGATAGAGGC